TCGGCACCAAAGAAGGAAATAATAACCCTTTTCTCGTACATTTGCATATAATAAGCAAACAGGATTTTATAAAGAAAACAAGTTCGTAAATCTTATTCGAATAATGGTGCATGTATGCCGGAATGCAAGAGGTCGTCATAGAAGCTGGACTATAAGCAAATAACAAAAGGAAAGTAGAATCTAAATGATTTTAATAATCCCATAAAATTTTAGAGAATTATTTAAACACGCGTATAAAATATATCCTTTATATGAAAGGACCCGAATTACTTACCTTGTGGAGCATGATGGCGGTGAACAGTAAAAATTCGAGTCGCAGTTGGCCGAGGCCGAACGCAGCGCCCAAAGCCATTCCATCGGCAAAAGAGTGAACTACCAGGCCCAAAGTGGCAGTCAGGCAACGCTGGTAGCGCAAGGACATCTCGTACGTTGAAAGACCGGTGGGAGTGGCTGGTGAACTAGAACTAGAACCAGAATAACAGCAGCAGATGGAGCAAGGTGAGGTGAGTGAGGAAGAGGTCGGGACACCAGATGCCGAAAGAAGTCGAGAGGCTCGAAAGGCCCCAATGGTTGAATCAGATTGAGACAGATTAGTTGATACAGGAGTCCAATCTGAATGGAGGGGAACGAAAATCCGGTTGAAACTTAGGTAGGAGAAGAAGTATATCAATTTTATTTGGGTCGATCTCTCATGTGGAGCAAATGGTTCACAGAAATCTATCCACGAGATCGCCTTGTATGCATAGAACGTTTAAGATATCCCCAGACTCCATAAACTATGAGGGCTATCCTAAAACATTAAAATTCCTCCCGATTAGTTTTTAATATGCTTTGGAAATTTGTATTGTTGGTTTTTGTGTGACATTGGCCATTAGGATTTGTTGAAATTTAGATAAATCTACCGTCTCTTTCACACATATAATATATTGTTCCACTGGCAGCCAAACAACTTTAAGGCATAATAGAGCAACCTTGGTGATCATAAGTTTGTAATTTTCCCGAAATGCTTTATACTTTTCCTTCAATTTAATAATATTGGTTCCATCTATTTAAAGATATTGGGTCTGTCTAGTAGATCCAATCAGTAGTTATTCAGAATATAAGGAGAGTTCGTAGGTTGATACTGCCTTCTCTTGATGCAGTGATGAAGGGTATGTATGAAGAAGTATTAAACATG